TGAACATAGATGTTGATCATTCAAACATATTAGAGCAGGGAGTCTGTGGCATTAAAATTGGAAGTTACAAGGTAAAATCAAGCTTTAGATGTGACAGACTTTTATAAGCCTCCTTAGACATATTACGCTGTAACTTACTTCAATTGAACGATACAGACACTGGTGAGTCGACTCATTGTGAAATGCAATGTCTTTTTTCAAATATCTCTCCATTATATTCTTTATCACAGAAATCAATTTAGTTGAAAGAATGACAAAGAAATGGAATTTATCAAGATGATAATGCATGATTTGTCAATTACATCAACTCATTAGACGCCTTTAATTATTGTGATGTCATCAATGGATGAACAATCTTTGACATCACACAATGTTTACCGTAACTCTTCACTGAATAGTTAATACAGTGAAAAAAAATATGCAAAATGTTGATCAATGTATAACGAAACGATAAGAATATAGGAGATCACGACTACCTCCATGAAAGCGTTCTTTAAGATCAATATACACATGTCCATGATATTGATATATACGTGTGCATAACAACTGCAGCTAACAAGAAATAGAAACAAAGTGGACGATTTGTAAAGTCGTTCATATGCTGTATTGATTTATTCGATGCCCTTCGTGATTTATCGCGAAGGCTCATAATCGGACATGAAGTGATTATGTAACAATATTTTAAAACAGCAATCAGTGAAGAAAAATGAAAGCATATACGGAAGAACTGGATTGGCTTCGTTGTGCTTTTGTATCAATACAGGTCGTTTCCTAAAGGAAGGACTAGTATTATATTGATTGGCTGTATCGAGTTCCTGATAATGCAATACCGCATTACAGATATTACGTTCAGTCAAAAGAGGTATTTGTATACTTGCGTCAGTGGCCAACATACAATCATGCAATATTTTATTCAGGAAAAAATGGCTTTTAAACATGAGAATACAATAATAAGTTTTGGAATAAATTAAAATTAGATTTTTTTTTTTATACATTGTATATATATATGCAATATCGTCAAAATCGACTTATATATATATGTGTGTGTAAACCTTGCCAATGTACAATGTATATATATCGTATTATAACTTAACGATTTATTGACAGTCGTCAGTTTCAGTCACGAATACAGGTGGTTGATCCCATTAAGAAATTACTTGTCTATGTTTATCCCACGTAAACCTAGTCAGTTTTTGCACTAGACAGCCTTGAAGGCGTGCGTCCGTACTGACTTGCTCACAGATAAGAACTGTTGCTGGAAGCTCGGCTGACAATCGCGATGATGTTTAGGACTCAGTACTCTTTAGTGATTTCTACTCAAGATAGTAATTAGTGTAAACAAAACTAACCGAAGTGACATGTGTGTATTGATTAGTTCAATAGCAACTAATTGCAATTGAGAACATGCTTCAATTTTCAAATTATTTTGACGTTTTCTATACTCACTCAGCAAGCCACTCTTATGTCATCAGAATGACAAATATTTATAGTTATGAGCTTTAACTATTTTTGCGTAATATTTCACTACTGCAGATCACAAATATTTCCCTTTCGTAAAAAACATATTTCACTATTGTAATTGTGTCATAACATCTATGGTATTCGAGGGGAAAACCATTTAATTTTCTGCTAAATATATGTTCTAAACTAAAGCGACGAAAATAAAGAAAATATGCGGTAATTACATGTAGTAACGTAGTATTTATAGTATCAGAGGCTAAGTTATGATGACGTCAGGATTGACATCAAGGCTGAGAGCTATTTTATATGGATTTCTCAACGTAAGTCCACCGTTTCTGCACCTGAAAATGAATTTTACGGTTTGGAATGCATAAAATAGAAAGTGTCATTCTGATTGGTCAATATGAAAAGTTATAATAAACATATATTACACTATTGTAGCTCATATATTTTTCACTATTAAAGGATGGACCTGAGACACACACTCATGTAATGGACATTTGAACATAATATCAAAAACAAAACAAAAGACCTTCATTGTATTGATTTCAATCATGGGGGAATGTTGATTTATTTCAAATTAATTATGAGCTAACTGCGCATGGCCGAACACGTGGTTAAAAAACGGCGTCTGATGCGATGAAAAGTAGTATGATGACACAAGTATAGCTAAGTTGTCACTGTAGAATGGGTATGTATTGTACCGTTGGGACATTTCTCTCAATATATGCCATGGGTTTGGTTGGATACGGGTAGATATGTATCAGACGCAAACAATAATGAAATGTGTTGTTTAAAAATCATATTTGACTAGATTCGTTGCATTCCTTTCCACCAAGTTGCAAGAACTTTAATGTTGTGTTGTGGGCTCTTATAAATAGCACTCGAAGACATATCGATTATTTTCATAAACAATTTCCTTTCCGCATTTAATTGTTCTTTACATTACCTCTACACGATTGTCCCACCAGCATTGGAGTTGAAAGTAACTCCTTAATGCCTTGAATTCACACTCAATGTCAAATATATTCCATTTATCACATAATGTACTGTGTTATCCAGTGAATATACCCATGTCAACTTTTTTGTTGTTGCGTTTTTACCGATGCAATATGATCATTCAGTCCTGTGATTGGTTGTAAGTTTCAACTGTTTCAATTGTGACGTCACGCCTAGGACAAGTACATGACGTCACAGACTTACGCACTGGAGTTAAAATGGCGGCTTTTTACATTTCAAGGTTGCATGAATAAATTCCAAAAATCTTGAATATGTGAAACAAAAGGATCTTTCATTCGTTTTCATTTCATATGAAATTCATGAAACACGTCACGAATTTTTCATTTTAGCTCGCCAGAGTCTCGCTATATTGAAAAATTCTTAGACTCGTTCCATAAACTCATGTAAGATCCTATTTATTTAAGTATTTTAAATCAATGATACAGCAGACTGATTATAGGCAATAGAGCGGTTTTAAGAACAAAGGCAACATTATCTATACAATCAAAAATATAAATGGCCAAAGGATAGGCCAAGTGAAAATCAGCTGCTCTGCCGACCGATTGGGAATATGAGGTATTAATGAAGACTTCTAACAATTTTGATGAATTCCCATAACGCTACACGCAATTTAACAGATCGGTGATTTTACAAAACATTATGAAAAGCCGTAGATATATTACATAACACTAGTGTGCTTGTTTTCGTTAAGAGTTAGATATGTTATAGTAGATTCAATTAGCTGATACACAGTTGAAAACAAGTGCATGATTCGAAGTATTTTTGGATGTATTGAAAAATAGTATGGCCAATCATGAAATAATGAGTTACAAAACAGTTGATATTTTCCTTCATAAATAGGATATATATTTGTTATTTATGAAGAAAAATATCAACAGTTTTGTCACTCATTATTTCATGATTTATTAAAAGGGACAGCAATCATATTCATTAACAAATGCGTGAATGTAATAAGCTCGTTGTAAACATTCGCGGTGGTGACTGGGGATAGGTCATTATTAACGGCGGAAGTGAGTTGAATATACATTGACAATAGATAATTATACAGTAAACTGACTTTCTTGACTACGAACTCCAGACTTCTAGATTATAATACAAACTAATACAAAAAAAATTAGCGTGTAGCAATGCGTTTACCCCCAAATTATCGTTAATATGGAACAATCAGGAGTCAGGCGAGAGCTGTTTCTTCACCATGGTGTGGAAGTTTCTAATTTGTGTTTTATGTTTAAAAGATCAGTTGTAAGTAAATAATATATTAGCTCAACAATTGACCGAATAAAGATCATACAGTTTTTTTCCAATTGGAATACATTACAGACAAATTAGTGTCGGAATGTTAAGTAATTAGTTATTTTAAAACGTAAATGAATACAAAGCAACACAGAAGACATGTGCATTAACGCCTAATGATTCAAGTATACACCTTCCTATACATAAGTAAATGTCATACCAGTAGGTTTACAAAACAATGGTTTCAAACGTTTAAAATTAACTAAAGTAGGGGAGAAATCCCATGTCGTGAACACACAACGAAGTCATTTATAAGCAATGTGAAATGGTTCAATTGAAAGTCTTCGATAATCAATATTTAATCAATATCACCAAAAGCAAAATAAATATCAATAAACAACTTAATTCTGGTAAATTCAAAATCCAATTAACTACTGAATTGCTAGAAGCTATCTTTTCCAGTTTCCTTATCTTTGGTATAATCTTGACACTAATCAAGGTTCCTCCAGCAGGTTAGACTGCGAGTCATACAATGACTTCCTAACGCAACAACGTTTCTTGCTATGAATAGACTGATATATTAATATCAAATATAGACTCACAAATACAAACTCTTATTCTTGATACGATTCCAGAGATTCGTTCTCTTCTTCAGTACTCTTGTACCAATAAATAAACGATCCAATGAAAACCATTCTGAGCGTAAATACTATTTCACACTCGATTCCGTTTGTCATTATATTGAAGAGAATTTGTAAACTGAATTGATGTCTAGATGGCGATATATTAAAAAACTAAAAAAGAATATCTCAAAATATCGGACGAATATTTCGCCAATGCAATTTGATTTCAATATAAGTTACTTTACTTTTTTAGAAATCTACAAGGCTACTTATACGAAAGTCGCAAGTGAGTTGTTCACCAAATTGGACAACAATAATCAAATTGGGTACCTTAAATCTATGGGCACACTGTTAGTCATTTTAAACAGGCTACTACATTTCAACGGACATTAAATCATACATAACAATACACCGGACATTACATTACATCAGACTTCACATTTAACCGGACAGTACATTAGGCCGGACTTTACATTTAACCGGACTTTACATTTAACCGGACAGTACATTACACCAGACGATTCATATCTCTGGATGTTATATGAATGTATTCCCTAGATCTCTCCACTATGTCGTGGCAGTCGTACGGTCGATACAGGTGAAGGCTGCTGACACTGGACGACAATTCTTCATAGTCAATACATGTATAGTTAAATTTTTCAGTACGACATGGCCAGCTCACATAGAACCACGAGAAGATAAAGCCTGCCGCCGAATGCTACCCACGTGGATCCCATGTGTGTGTGTGCTATCAATCCTGCTGTGGATGACTTGTACCGGTATTTCCTCACTACGAATAGGTAAATGCTTGTTAATAGTATAAAATAGTATACCTATGTTCAATAAGCAAAGGTTCGAAAACTGTTGATAACAAATGTCTCCTCCGACGTTAAGGTTATAGGACTACCTAATAAATTGTCTGATGTCTTAAAAGATGTGAATATTGTTTAATGACTTAACAATTGTGTCTGTTGTCTGATGTAACAAATGGGTCTGATACATTTAGCAGTGGGTGTAATTTGACAGATAGTTTCCTGAAAGTTATTAACGAATGAGTATGCTTTCTATTAACGGTCTGGTTATGTGTAAGGCTAGTATAGGTACGTTTGAATTAAGGATATGAAGTAAATTGTTTTTGACGGAAGGAGAAATCAATAGAGTAATGATGCTGACAATAATCAAATCAATCAATCACACATTTGTTTTATTTCTATATTAACTGCTTGTTGGGGTTTAACGTCCTCGCAATAGCCTGGGTCATATGAGGACGGGAGCAAGAGAGTGATCAACATTAGGCTAAATTGTGATTGCATGCATTCATTAATTAGGCATTATGTTTTGTACTTGGCAAATGAATAGGACATATAGCAGAAGACTTGTATATCGTTAATATTTAGTTCGATGAAATTATAATAGTAAAATCTAGCTACCACGAATTAAAAGAGTGAAACACAGCCGTCCGTAATGCTATTTTGATGATATTACACAAATTTTGAATTTTTAAGCATCTCATTAATTACAGCAAATAAATAAAAACAGACATCCTTTTTAAGCTTCAATAATTGTCACCTACATAATGATAAAAATGGTTACCTAACTCACAAACTATGACCAACGAAAAACTTTTTAAGGAATTAACTTTCTTTTCTTCAGTAGTAATAAATATACCAGCTTCCAATGTGCTTAATAAACGTTTGTCAGCAGTAACGTAAAAAGCTCTACTGTTTTCACTTTCCATTTTTTAGTAGTAACATACCAGCTTCCCAGTTTTTCCTTTCCTCAGTGGAAACATCCTATCATCTCATGTGTTAACTATCTTTTTCTCAACAAAGAAACCTCCCTGTACTTACTTCCTTTTCCTGGTAGTAACATACTAGTTTCCCAAGTACTTACTTTCGTTCCTAGTTGGTAACATATCATCCTCCCTGGCTTACTTCCTTTTTCCTGGAAGTAACATACCAGTCTCCCCAGTTCTTACTTTCGTTCCTAGTTGGTAACATATCAGCCTCCCTGTGCTTACTTCATTTTCCTGGTAGTGACATACCAGTCTCCACAGTTCTTACTTTCGTTCCTATTTGTTAACATATCATCCTCTCTTGTGTTTACTTTCTTTTCTGCAATAGTAACATACCAATCTCCTCCGAGTTTCCTTTCCTCAGTGGTAATATATCAGCCTCCGCCGTGTTTACTTTCTTTTCCTCGGTAATATCATATCAGCTTCCCCCATATTAATTCTCGTTTCCTTAGTAACAACCTACCAGCCTTCTTCTTGCTTTTCCTTTTCTTAGTATTATCATACATTTATCTGCTTATCTACTGATGGAAATCACTTGATTTTCTTCTCCTGTGGATTATTTTAATAAGTGACAAGATGTTCGTTGAAAAATTACATAGCTAGGTTATGAAAAATGTGTCATAAAATATTACATATTATACATATAATGTGACTCCATTGTCCGCCAATATAAAAAAAAAACGTGCCAGGTGTTCCTCTAGTCGTTTGTCTACCAGTTTTGAGCATAAGGAGTTCATATTGTAGTTTCTTTTTCTATCGTTATCTGATGTTGTCCTATAATGTTGACATTAAGTTCGAATTGTGTGCTTGTGTGTTGGCACTTCGGCATATTGTGTCCTTGTATTTACATATTTATTATTGTGTGATTTATCTCCCCAGATACATATGTATTCGACGACTGGGGTAACGAGACGAACTATATCAGGATGCTGATGGAGAAGGAAATCGCCTCATGGACACGAACAGTGAATATTCCCGTTTCTCTACATTTCACAGCCAAAAGCCTCACCATAGACTACAATTTGTTTGGTAAGTACACAAATCGCTTTTTACACACTTGAAAGCGAATTTGAAAATTATACACAAACGAGTCAGGTGACTTTACCTAATAAACTATCCTTGTTAAGGAAATGTGAAATTACCCTTGTCAAGTAAAATAAATGTTGCGTTTAGCTTACCATAACAGCAAGTGAAGAAATTCAGAATCTATCATATATTTATAGCTTTCTATTTAATAATTCATTTAGAGAGCAATATATTTTAGATAGTAATATAAATGCCTCTTGCTAGTATTTCTGGACTAAAAATGAACTTCTCCAAGACCCAAGTAGTATGGATTGGCAGCAAAATATACAGTGAAAACACTTTTACTACAAAATTTGATTTAAAATGGGGAAGTACACGCTTCACCCTATTAGGCATAGAATATGATGTAGACCTACACAGAATTATCAAACTGAATTTTGACAAAAGCTTGCAAAACTGAAGTCTTTAATATCTGTCTGGAACAAAATAATACAACCAGTCACCAATAGGTAAAATAATTGTTATCAAAACTCTACTAATATCTCAGTTTAATCATTTGTTTATATCGCTTCCCAATCCTGATGACTTATATATTAAACATATCAACAATACATTGTACAATTTTCTATGGAATGGTAAACCAGATCAGGTTAAAAGGGATATAATTATAAAAAGAACTATGAAGAAAGGGGGCTTAAAATGATACATCTAAAATCTTTCATAACTGCTCTTAAAGCAACTTGAATCAGAAGGATATATAGTAAAATAGGAAATTGAATTATTGCTGTGCAATCGTATTTGGTAAACAGAAAATACTGGAATTGAGAAATTGAAAGAAATATCAAAAAATTGTACAATTGTATTTTGGAAAGATGTTTTGGTTGCCTAGTATAAAACTACCAATGCAAGCAAAATATACAAAACAAATATTAGTGAAAATCCAATATGGTTTAACAGTGAAATACAAATAGATCTTCAATAATACATGGCACAAAAAGGGGTTCAATTTATCCACAACATTATTAAAAAAGATAGATCTTTATACAGCTTAGAAGAATTTTGTGAAAAATTTAACATTCGTGCTAATTTTTTAAGTTATCAGAGTCTGAAAAATGTTATAGGTCAGTTCATAAGGAAGAACCGCCAAGCTTTCGATTCAGAAAATAATATTATGCTACCAAGTATACCCATAAATCTCAAGTTAATCCTAAGATGTAAGGAAGGAGCTCGAGAAATATATACCATATTAATCAAAAATGAAGTTAAACCCACCGCCCAAAATAACTGGAATCAAAATTTCAATATTGATGAAGATATGTGGAAAAATATATACAAATATCCTTTCAATACCTGTACCAGTTCCAAACTACAATGGTTACAATTCAGAATAAATCATAAAATCCTGACCACAAACATTTTTTTATTTCAAATTGGTAAATTAGATAATAATATGTGCGCTTTTTGTAAAACTCATCCAGAAACAATAACATATATTATGGGATTGTGAAAAGGTATCTAATTTGATAGAAAATAAAAGAACTAGTATTATTGCTAAATATCTTGGTCTTCGATTTAATAAAAAAGAATTTATCTTTGGCAAGCAAATTAAGAAGTATACAATGTTCAACTTGGATAACTTAATATTACTCACGGTAAAACAATACATATATAAATCAAAATGCCTTGAAATAGAACTCAATCTGAACGGTCTAAAAAATCATATCAAATTCGAATTAAAAGCTCACAAAATGCTAATATCCAAAAGTAACATTAAAAACAAAATACAGATTAACACACAAATGCATCACTGGTTGCTTTGTCCCACATGTCTTGTCCTTTGACTTTTGTGTGCATTTGATTTTTGTATGTATACCTAATGTCATGAATACCATTTATTCATTAATAATTTATTTAAATATTAATCAGTGTGGGTGTGTAACTGAAAGTGTATGTGTGTCTGTGTGTGAATTCTTTTTTGTCTCTGTATATAGGTACATGCTTGATAAGTATTTATTCATAGTGAATTAAAAAAAACTATTAGCAACAACTCTTAAGCTTTAGGAGCTTTAACTACAATTATGTACCGTATGTGTTGTATCATGTCATGTAAAAAAATGAAAATGAATAAAAAATAAATTAAAAAATGATAATATACATATGTCTCTTTTAAGGCGTTTTTCTTAAAATAGTCACAATTTGTATTTTATTAACATCTAGTCGGGACGCAACTGAAGTTCTGACGGTGTTAATATATGTTAAAACCTATAACGGTGTTAATATATGTTAAAACCTATAACGGTGTTAATAGATGTTAAAACCTATAACGTTGTTAATATATGTTAAAACCTATAACGGTGTTAAAACATATATTAATATTTCCTATCGTCTGATTTGTCAAAAAAAGAATAAAACAACACATTTTGCAATGTATCAAATATGCTGAAAATTTCTGTCTTTGTTTCCTCCCATAATAACTTACAAAATAGTTTCTTTTTAAAATTCATAAGAAAAAACAAATTCCAACAATATTTTCAGGTGTTTAGAAACATATTTTGAATTTTTGACCGGTGATCTCTTTTAAAAATTTCCAAACGAAAGCAAATAAAAAAACCTCAAAATCATCTAAAACTTTAAAGTTAAAAGACTAATGTTAAAATGTCTGCGATGGAACGGTCATATAAATGAAATGTTTTCCGATTTGGAATCGTGCCATGTGCTGTATCAACACAGGCGAAAAATACGAATAACATTATTTCTTGTGTCTTTGTGTAGCTGAAAATGACCGGATCGATGACGTGAACGATTGGAACATTGTCCTGGACTTAACGACAACTATTGATCTGATGAATTGTGGTGCAGCAATGGCAAACAACGTACCCTACATTACATCGTCATCTGAAGCGTCATCAGACTGCCATCCAATCACATTTCGTACCTCCCCTTCCAACATTTTACAACCAGTCGTAGATATGTTTGAAATAGGCGGCACTACATCTGAAGTTAAACTTCTTCTTTTGGATTCAGGCTACGGTAAATTTGTGCTGATGTACTATTTTCATTAGTTTTCTGTTTTAGCATCTAATATGTAAGATATACTTACCTTTTTTTTTCAATTGTTCATTAACGTGCATTAACGTGCCTGCATACATTTATAATAAATGTCAAATTGGATCAACGTGTGTTTTTCGGACACGTTTTAATCAATCAGGTAACAAAACACCACAATGTAATCAGAGCGTTTCCACGGTCATAGTTTGATAATTGACACAATACTTGAGGTACAAAGTCACGCAGATATTTTCTCATAACATGGTCTCAATCTTTTATGAGAGGTTATTACGTGTGTTGGCAGTTTTGTTTACTTCCGGTGTTGTTTCTGTTTTCCTGTCTTTGGTTTCCGGGTTATTTTTGCATATTCTTGTTTGCCCTTTTTTCTTTTTTATGTTTTAAGTAATTTTCGATTTTGTTTTCATATATTGATGCCATGCGTGGTGTTTATTTATTTATTCATAAAACATGTTTTTCCCCAACAGAACTGGATCCCAGCATATTTGACACAAGGAATAATAGCGAGAGTGAAGTCATGGTTTATAGCATTAATGAATTAGTATTAGAGGAGAGAGCAGCTAGACGCCTACTAATCAACGCGAGACGAGTAATAATACTCGCTCCTTATCTACAAATCTTACATTTCTTTAATCAGGTGAGTTAATACTTTCGACAAATCGACGAAATGCTTTCATTCAAAATGCATGTACATGGGGTTGAGCATATTAAATGACCACGATTTGTCCTGCTTATCAAAAATAGAGAGTTGGTATTTGATGGTTTAAAATGTGTTTTACACGCTGTTAGTATGAAAACATATTTTTTATTTCTCAACATCGTGAAATGCAGCTTTTGGTTGGTACCATTGTCAATTTGCTGTCTTACGAACGTAACTATATATCAACTGGACATTCAGAAACACGTACCAAATCATTAAGGAATATCTGTAAGATATATCTATGACACGATTATAATAGCGCTATGACAGGTGTCTAATATTTGAATCAGTTAACGTCAACTAAAGCCAGTCTCGTTGCTTTATATTTCTCATTTTGTTTTGCCAAGATGGAACAGACAGTTAAGATGCTGAAAAATGAATGGATTCTATTGCCAGTGGACTCCGAAACCTGTCCGGGACATCTGAACATATCGTATATCTGTATCGAAGGCTATTATACGGCAAACACAACGGTAAGGTCATATTTTTATTGTTCTTGTGTCATTAACAGGACTTAGTTTTTGATTTGGGTGATAGCACGACAAAAAGGTTTCGAATGATGATGCCGGTGTAAACAAAAGTGTCATTGCTTTGTTTGATACATTGCTTGGTAAATGGACATACCACTGTGGGGTTTGATACATTGCTGGGTAAACGGACATACTACTGTGATGTTTGATACATTGCTGGGTAAACGGACATATTACTGTGGTGTTTGGTACATTGCTGGGTAAAATATCTGTATCGAAGGCTACTATACGGCAAACACAACGGTAAGGTCATATTTTTATTGTTCTTGTGTCATTAACAGGACTTAGTTTTTGATTTGGGTGATAGCACGACAAAAAGGTTTCGAATGATGATGCCGGTGTAAACAAAAGTGTCATTGCTTTGTTTGATACATTGCTTGGTAAATGGACATACTACTGTGGTGTTTGATACATTCCTGGGTAAACGGACATACTACTGTGGTGTTTGGTACATTGCTGGGTAAAATATCTGTATCGAAGGCTACTATACGGCAAACACAACGGTAAGGTCATATTTTTATTGTTCTTGTGTCATTAACAGGACTTAGTTTTTGATTTGGGTGATAGCACGACAAAAAGGTTTCGAATGATGATGCCGGTGTAAACAAAAGTGTCATTGCTTTGTTTGATACATTGCTTGGTAAATGGTCATACTACTGTGGTGTTTGATACATTGCTGGGTACACGGACATACTACTGTGGTGTTTGATACATTACTGGATAAACGGACATACTACTGTGGTGTTTGATACATTGCTGGATAAACGGACATAGTACTGTGGTGTTTGATACATTGCTGGGTAAAAGGACATACTACTGTGGTGTTTGATACATTGCTGGGTAAACGGACATATTACTGTGGTGTTTGGTACATTGCTGGGTAAACGGACATACTACTGTGGTGTTTGATACATTGCTGGATAAACGGACATAGTACTGTGGTGTTTGATACACTGCTGGGTAAACGTACATATTACTGTGGTGTTTGTTACATTGCTGGGTAAACGGACCTACTACTGTGGTGTTTGATAAATTGCTGGGTAAACGTACATTCTACGGTGGTGTTTGATACATTGCTTGGTAAATGGACATACTACTGTGGTGATTGATACATTGCTGGGTAAACGGACATACTTCTGTGGTGTTTGATACATTACTGGATAAACGGACATACTACTGTGGTGTTTCTGATGATACCAGAGTAAACACACGTGTAAATTGCTATCTTTATAACGATGTTAAGGTAAGTATAGGTGCCACTGATGTCTTTGTGACGATCGCGGAGTCAATCAAAGATGACCTCTGCTCAAAACATGGTATAAAATTCCATGTGTTTCATATGCAACCAAACTTACATACATAGAGCGTTTTGTCTCTTCTTGTAGCGGCTGTGGATGGATGCTTTAAATTTCATCAAAGGTGCTGTAAAAACGTTAGAGCAGGTGGATGCTAACACGAATGATACCGGAATGGTAAGTGTTACTGTTTTCACTTACATTAGCACAGTAATCAATCAAAACAATTTAATAAAATCAACATCCCTGTAATAAGAATATACCCTTTCCGAAACTGTGAGTATAGGGTTAATATACTACGTAAAAATGACTGCGTACAACGCTTGATGATTTTCAAACATGATCGAAGATAAATAAAAACATAAATGTAATGTTTTAGTAAATTTCATAAAATCTGCATAATTGATTTAAGTATGTATATAACATATTGTATCCATATGTTCCAGGAATATTTCAATTGGTATTCATCATCAAACAGAAGCCATCAACCCACAATCAGCATATCAAAGCACACGTCATTTAATAGTTCTAGAGTGGTAGGTACTTCTTTTTTTGAAGAACAAAATATCATACTTTGTTAATGATCTCAAAATTTATTTTATAGAACAAATACAATGTTAAGTTATTTTCATTTGTACTGAATAGGCAGTAAACTAGAAAACTTGTAAAGCAAATGATTTTCAAAAACGATGAACAGATATGTATGTGTCGTTTTATTTCTTTAGTTTGAGAAACTAAGGTAAATACACACACATAAATATATATATATATATCAACCAACCATAACGTCATTAACAAGAACGTCAACATACATTGAGGTAAATGGTTGAAGGTCACTTTAATTATTTTGGTATACTAATACAGGCTTTTGAAATACTGATGTATTCACAGGTAGGAGAGTTCGCCGCAGGACGGACAACTCTTTATGAACGTCCAGAAGATTTATTTGAACCCCCGCCACCACCAGTGTTAAAGGTTGTTGTTATACATGTAGGTATAGCATATGAATTATATTAATTTCAAAAGATACAATTGATTTTAAAATTAAACCTTAGTGACATACGACAGACGGTTCATCGTAAGTGCTGTGTTATGAGAAAGGGTAGGCCTATGGTCTGTGTGACGAGTCACACGGTTTGTGCTCTGTACGTGTCATAAAATAAGACACTTGTCAAATAAGTCCTTTGCTATCTATTTAATAAACATTCGTTACTAAAGGAACCTCACTCATACACACATGATATGTGCTTTCCGACATGGAAACACGGTTTATACCGTGTATCATAAGACACCCACCGAATGACCTTCCTAATCCAATGACAATTTATTATTACAGGAACCTCCCTTCGTTCAGCGTGTAATACAAGACAATGGAAGCGTCAGCTACGAGGGCTACAGCATCGACGTCCTACATGAGTTGGCAAGAAGGAGCGGATTTAAATACGAGATATACGAGGTACCGGACAATGAATACGGGGTCCTGAGGTCAAACGGAACCTGGTCAGGGGTTATCGGGCAAGTGGCAACAGGAGTAAGTGTAAAAAGAAGAAAACGATTGACAGGAGTCAAATATGGTTTTGATACTTAATATTAATGATACAATTTTCTTATGATGACCAAATAAACTAATTCAATATAAATTGAGGTTTACTTTGAGATATTTGACCTTTTAATTTGGCATCAATTTACGACAGAGATTTTTTAAGATAGTCGAGCCGGTCCGTTTTCAGGATCTGATCTTAACATCCTGTTACAGGCGGCCGACATGGGGGCAGGTCCAATATCGGTGACAGCCGAGCGTGAGGCTGTGATCGACTTCACTGCCCCATACTACGACTACGCTGGACTTCAGATCCTGACAAAAGACACCAGGGAACCACCGTCTCTGTTTGTGTTCGTCACTGTCTTCACGGAACTGGCATGGGGTGTATGGCTGAGTCTCCTCATCGCCACAGTCGTCATCCTTTGTGTGTTCCATAGGTTAAAATATAAATATCTTACTGAGGAAGACACGGGATGTGATTCAAAAGAGAAGTTTACCATTAAAAACTCGTTCTGGTTCGTCATCATGTCCGTTGCTATAGCAGGTTTGTGTACATAAACATTGTAATATCAGATTTCTTTTGACCCGCTTGTTTTGTAATTCACTTTTCAGGATATATGACGATTGATTGGTTGATTTTATAATAGTGTCGTAGGAAAGATACATTACTTCACTTTATAATTAAAAGACTTAAATGTTTCAACACCAATATATAGGACGTACTAGTATAATGCGCAGATTGATATGGAAAGGTACTCACTATTGTCATACTTAATATTATATTATGTACACAGCTTGTTTTTATTTTACATTTCAGGTCCAGAACAACACCCATCGATGACGTCCACACGTCTAGTTGTTGCTGGGTTCTGGTTCTTCTGTCAGATTATAATGAGTGCCTACACTGCCAATCTAGCCGCGTTCTTAACGTCATCGCGTCTAGCGTCGCCAGTCGAGTCCCTCGACGATCTGGTGACCCAGTCAGCCTATCAATACACGGTACAGAAAGGAACAGTAGGCGAGACGTACTTCCAGAGAATGGCAAAGATCGAGGCGGGTTTCTATAGTTATTGGAAGGATGTGAGTTTTTCAACAGACTCTAGTTCTGCTCTTACACAGTACGCTGTGTGGGACTACCCGCTGGGAGACAAATACATAAAACTCTGGCAGTCAATGCAGGAGACTGGCTACGTGTTAAACACGGAAGAAGGCATCGCCAAGGTTTTAGAGGGCAATTTCGTCCTCTTCCATGAAACTCCCATCATAAAGTTTGAAATGAGCCGAAGGTGTGGGCTGCTCTCCGTGGGAACGATGTTCAGTGCAAAACCTTACGCTTTCGTCCTACCACAAAATTCACCAAATGTAAAAGATATATCTAGTGCGTAAGTATCCTTTAGGTTCTCGTGAAGACTTTTAGCCTGAGTTATTGTAAAGATTATTTTTTTCTGGCCGCCGTCATGACTTGTACATTTTCGATTTATACAAAATCTGCGATAAAAACATTTTGAAGGTAATAAATGTATCAAGATATTCTATACAGAACGAAAAGTCATGATATTTACTAACTCCGTCATTCTTATGTTGCAGACTTATTTAAACATTTGTCATACGTGTGGTTTTCTTGTTTCTTCAGAATACTTTCAATTCAGTCCACAACAATACTGACAAAGCTCAAGGAGAAATGGTGGGAAAGTAACAATATCACTTGTCCAAATAACGACGACAGCGATGGTTTGACATTAAATGCCGTGGGTGGTATGTTCATTGTGATAGGCGGGGGGTGTCTTCTCAGCGTTCTCATCTTGGGTGTGGAGCTTCTCATCGCCAAATGCGGAAAGTCGTCTGTGGTAAGGACTCTTATTTTATTAAATGTTGTTATTTATCTCAATTTATAAAGTGTAAGATCATCTCAATTTTGTATCAGAGCTACGCAGTGATATATTCAATGATCAGGCCCAGATCCTTAATGGTTGGTTGCATTACAAAAAACGCCTAGATCCTTTGCACTGGATTTACAAGTAATGTCACAACTTTCATTTTCATTATCTTTATGTTACAGCCTTTCCTCGCTGGAAAAGATAAAGTTGAAGAACGTGACGTTCACCGAATTTCACACCAGACGAATAAATCCGGCGATATCAGTGATGTAATGTTATCAAAACTGCGTTCATCCGAAGTACAGGACTCGGTAAATACATCTAATCTATAGAAAAAGATTTCCTGTAAACGAAACGCAACGTAGTAAATCAATTACAATGTTATACATGTATATGCACTCTGAATTCGTCCCTTTGTACATTTTATAAATAGAATAAAATTTGTTCATACCGTTAGTTATGTTGTTTTGATATCTATGAACAACACAAGAGAGGACGTTTAGTTAAATGTAATTTAATCCTGGTTTTAATGTCCTGCTGCCAACCTAACACTCATACAATTACATAGATACCTTGACATAGTATCACAATACGTATATCTGTGTTCTAAATGGGTAGCGAAGCTGTTTAACACACAATTTCTCGAAAGAAAGGGCATATGTAGCGCAACAACAGAGGAGCTGAGAAAATGAACGAATTGGAACTGCTGCAAAGCATTATACCCATGTAACATTGTATTGAAATAAACCATGCACGGTACAGATACATCACAAACCAGAGGAAGACATACACCACTAGCTGTTAGTACATAAAATCCTAAAAACGATCAAGTATCCCTCTAGACGTTCACATCGAGACCGAGTCCAACGGCACATTTTAGGTTGTGATTTTTACACCTCTAAGGATGTAGAACTTTAAAGGAAATAGCATGTGCATTGAGTGATTTAAAAGAAAAAAAGCTTGAGATAAATCTAAATGCAAAACACACCTCATTTTGAATTGCAAACCGACCACCTTTCTGTAGAGTATAGTATCCCAAGATAACAAACATTACGATTAAAATGCCAACATGAGGATTTGTTTCATGAAATTTTGGAATAAACAATAACTGCACCTCACTAATCTAAGTAAAATAAACATGTAAAATGATTTCAACAGAACATGTAAGCCAAATTACCGAATCCATCAGATTATTGCCATCAGATTGTGTATATTTATAAATGACACTTGCCAGATTTTTTTTAACATGACCATTTGAATAATAATAATAATTCGAGGTTCTTATATACCGCTTTATGACAACCTAGTTCGTAGGTCGTCTCAAAGCGGTTCACAGATTATTATCCGTGGTTATAGGGCCTTTGCAACCAGCCAATATCTTTCTCAACTCCCTGGGAAGCATACAGCCGGAGCTGCCATTTCGGCGCTAACAGCTAGCATTCAACAATTCTAGCACTTCCAAACCACGTACTCATTTACAGCTGAGTAGACTAGACTGGGACAAGCGGAGTCAAGTATCTTGCTCAAAGATACAACACAGTGCCGTGCCGTGACTCGAACCCGCAACCCTCCGGCCACGAGCCCTGCCACTAGACTACTGTGCCTCCATTAATGTTTTAAAAAAGCACCTTTAAGATGACTTTGTTGTCTTTGCAATTGTTACACGAACTCTGTCTTTGGAAAGATATACCTTGATGTCAAGCTTTTAGTCTGATTAAAAGAAATACAACCACATTTCGCCTCCTGTGACGATTCCTTTCACTCCGTTTGTCACATATGCGTGTGTTTTCAACAGCTGATGTAACGTTTCCAAACTCTCCTTAATTATTCTGCAAATTAGTAAAACAAACAGTATCAATCTATCACTGATCTTCTTAAGATCTATATATGCAGATAGAATAGTATGAGGTATTCTTGTTGAAACAGTGGACAGTTTAGTACAGTTTCATAATAGACCCGTATGAAACAATGTCGGTTCTATCCTCACATTGCTTAACCTTACGATATATCACAGCATATTCTTCGTTGGTATAATATACTGCAATTAATATATACTTAGCCGATGGTTTTAGTTTATGAGGTTTCTAATACGCAAGTTCTAACGTCAAGCTTTCTTCATGGGTAGCTAAACTTATTAAAGAGACTATTAGGACAGCGGACTGGTAAGAAAACACAATGTCAATCATTTAATTCCATTTTCAGATATATCGACAACACACGGTCTTTTAATAATAAGACCAGTGTCGATCGTTTATACTCCCCTGAATCGATTAAGAACACTAAAGACTCTCCTACATCAGCCGCTCTCCACGATCTTTACTGACAACATGACCAGCAGGATTGACTTACTACTAAGGTGTAGATAAGCGTGACATTTTCGATTTTAATATCGTGAACTTTCCCTTTCTTGACAATCACTTCACGAATCCCTAGCCTACGGTGTTAAAATGTAGCAGTTGATTCGGTTATCAACAGACTGCTTCGAATGTCATGATTTCCGTGATTTATCGCTTCAGCTTACCAAACCTTCAACATAGGTTTTCGAGAGACAAAGGTTGAGGAAGACTACGGGAAGTTTTATTGTCGTTATGACGATATCATCGAAAAATATGTCTGGTATTTTCCCCCTCTTATGTGATATAAAAGGTGATATCTGTTATTATGTTCATGAGTGTGCCTTGCTGTTCCGTTGTCACTAAGCCGGTTATCACTTTGTGTGTGTGACATTAATTTGATTTGTTTGGGCCTAGATTCATATGGCAAGTGCCGTCGGTAAAGCAAAAAATAAATCCTCTTGCATTTTTCATGTGTTTCCAATTGATATCTCCCTTGTTCCTATTTTGTCCTCGTTTATCGATTTTGAGTTCGAATAATGGTTTTGGTGACACCAAGGTATAAACTGATCCGGGTAAGATCGACAGCCTCAACAGATTTTGCTAATTTTTCAGACTCTTACGAAGACGGAAGGGAAGTGTAACTGTTAGATAGTATATGGGCTATACTTTTCTATTTCACAAAAACAAATATCACATACATCAGAATAATGTTTCCTTCAAGTTTAACGTAATCGTTTCAATATTCTCTTTAATGTCGACTTGAATATTTAGTGCCGCCTTCCAAAGGTGCACGACATGGTTCCCTTTTTTGTCCAAAAAACTATCAAAACAATGTTTTACGCTACCAATAATATTATATTATTTAAAGTAGGATCTGCTGCAAATTATGAACTCAAATATGTAACAAAACATAGCATAATAAAAAAAGTTATAAAATCTTAAACTCTAAAAATGTTGGTATTTTCATTCACTTTTTTGCTACATCAATAGTTTTACGGAAGTAAAACACCAATTTTCGGTTCTTGTACACCAAAAATCTTTTTAATTTTATTTGGTGCATTATGTTGAGATACGATAGTGAAAATTTCAGAAAATTTGAGAACCGGTAAATTTGTCATATAAATGTCAAACTGTAGCAACGTCTATTTCCAAATAAAATCCAAAAACCTTATGACAATACGTCGCACCAATTTATTATCGCAACTGATCAAATTTTCATCAATAAGGTCTGCTGCTCATGATGAGCCAAACTCTAAAGCTAGATGTTGCATAATAAAAAAAGTTATGCAGTCTCACACACATAAAGGTTTAGTATGTTATGTACATTTTTAGTTGTTTCGCATCTTTACGGAAGTGATAGACATATTTCCGGTTTTTGTACACCAACATACTTTGGATATTATTTGGCACATTATGCTGACTGACGATAGTAGAAATTTCGAAAAATAATGTAGCCGATAAATGTGTCATCTTAAGGATAATATGTTGTATGACCAATGTCAAAATAAATAGTTCATAACACAGGCCCTGGGGACCTTTTTAATTTTTTAAAAATATCTCATGGGTCGTGTCTTAGGGAGCTACAAATATAACCCAGTAATGGTTAAATTGCTTTGTGGGCAAAATTCTTTTGTTCCTGTAACAGGTCCTTTGTAACGCTCAATATAAGATCAGCGTTGGTACTCCGATAGTTCCTTACGAAAATTGGAGGAACCTTGTCTATGACACTACCCGATCATGATATCTGTAATATACATACTTTTGTACAACATTACTTGTTTTACTTCCATGGTAGGCTTTCTGTGTACGAATGTAACGGAAATAATGCAAGTAGAACAACAAAGTAACTTTTCAAGCTTTATATACAATACGACTTTATGAATTGATATCGGACAATTATTTTTCAGATTTAATCCACAACCACATACTTATTCTACCAAAACCTCAAACTTATGTCATCAGCATTGTTGTAATCTATCTTCAATATCATGTAACACACGGAAAAATGCTTCGGAAGGAATGTTGAAAACAAGTTCATATTAACTATTGTAAGCTCTTAGTAAAAAGTAAATGGCTCTGTTTGCACGTCGAGGGATACTGATAGTGCAGATCTGTCGAATGGTGTAGACATGACGATGCTTTAGTAAGTGTTTGAATAAAAAGGTAAAGGAAACACCTGTTGCTGTTGGGCACGTATTGTATTATCATCATAAAGAGTTGTCTCCGTGGAGACACCGCCCATCAGAAGCATTTAATGTTATGGGGAAATAGGGGCACATCATCTATCCATTTCTCTTTATAACCGATATCGATTGGCCAGTGAATCAAGGGTTTAGGTAAAATCAGAAACAGGGAAATCAGGCACTAGCATCAACTGGGGGAAAACAATCATATAAGCAGCTTCATCAGCTCTCATAAAAACGCACATGGAAAGCAATGGATAGAATCCACAGCTCCGCCAATGGTAAAATATACGCTATGAAGATTCATCACAAAACATTTATATCCTAAACGTTACCATAACTGAGGAAGACGTCGAAGAGGTTAAAAAAGTTGGAGACTGGAAAACGATTATCATAGAAGAATCTTTAAGGCAAACCAGCTATGTTCCATGATGAAGATATTACGGCGGTCAACATATCAGACTCTTACGAAGAAACTGAGAATCCTTATCAGCAACATCATGAGCGTACCGTGTGCGCCTTATCGTGACAATGGACTGGGAAACCGGGACAGATATATGCTTTCTCACACATTTTAATCACATTCTAGTATCAGCAATTTCCAATAGTAATGTTAACATTACGTTCAAGTGCGACACAATTTGATCAGCGAATATCAAGTTGTTTTGTATGAAAACATTCTGTCTTTTACCTAGTTTATTTTACGACACTGAAGACAGAGGAGTACACACAACACAAACTTACAGTCAATATTCACATACTCATAAAATAAAATAAAACAATTATACAATGTTATACAATGTAGTACAAATGACAGCCAAAACCCAAAGTGAAGGTTAAGTTTGTCAAGAAACAACGTGTATTAATAATATTGGTAACAAGAAACAAAAATGTAAAAAAA